TCCCTGGTCTTTTTCAAAAATGTCAGGATTAATTAAATAGTACCCCCAGGGGTACTGTGTGAAGAGGAGGGTACTATACGAGGGGGTACTATGAAAAGAGTATTAATCTAATAATAAGATCACTGATTCAGATCATAAACATCATATAGTAATTGCATAAAATATGTAATAAAAATAAGTTTATTTGTAATTATTTATTTGGTAAATAAATAAGTAAACAATTGAACTTCTTTGCCTAAATATATTAAGCGATTGAACTTCTTTACATCAATATATTGAACGATTGATTCTTTACATAATTTAATATATTAAGTGATCGAACTTATTTACATAATTAAAATGGGTTTACGAGCAAACAAAAGAACAAATTGTGCTACAATTACAGAAAAAACACGAAGGCAGTGGAATGCACGAGAAAAAATTGCCATTATTTCATATTATGAAAGTGGTCATAGTAAAAACAAAACAGCGGCTAAATTTAATATTAAAACAAAGCAACTTCGAGACTGGTTATCTAAGAAGTCATTACTTTTAAAATCACAGCCGGGTTTAAAACGATTAAATAAAGGTGCCTCACCAAACATAATTATTAGTACATTGTATGAGAGAATCGGTTTTATGTAAATGCTCCGGAACAGTGTTCCAACGGGTTTTTAAGCAGTCGGAGCAACCAATTAATAGCAATCATGATCCCTAGTGGTTCCATATCCAATATTTTCGGCAGCAAATGAAAACAAATTGAATGCCTTTTCAATATCTTCAGAAATTTCAAATTCAATTAGATGGAGAAATGCAAGAAGAATTTGATGAGCCGAAATGAAATTATCAACATTATATGAAAGCAAATTTATTATCATTCTAATTTATTTGTTAGGTAATGTTTAATAATTTTTTTAATATCTTGAGTACTTTACCCCTCATTCACTGCTCTGGAAAGTAATACCATAATTCATCGATGATAAGCATTATGATTTAAAATTTGCTATTACGTTACATTCAACATGTTGTAATATACTGTATAAAATACATCAACATTGGAAATAAAATTCCGAATGTGATACATTAATCGCCTATTCGTTATTATAATGTAATTGCGCGTCGGAATATGAATTAATCATTTTCCAGAATGGTCAATTCCGTGAATGATTATTAAAAATGTTTATCCGACATTTTATATGTTCATGCGATTTTTTTTGCCTTGATATTTCTTGCACGAGATTAGTAATAATAATATCCTGATCCGTTGGGTATTAGCGGGGCTGAAAGTCGCGCTAATTCACATACGGTCAGGGTATTATTAATTAATACTCCCGTGATCTTGAATAGTGATCGGGGTAATAATATAAAATTTATCGGAGCCATTGTCACCCATGTTCCGCAATGCATTGTACTGTACTGTACGTATGACATTTTGTGAATCACGTAATACGTACGTGGCACGTCACTAGATAAACAAAGCTATCATGCTAACTTCTCTAAATATGATAGGGTTTTAGTTGGTTATTTTTAGCAGTAATGTCCTATAATTCTAATAAAATTTTCAGATTTATTTTTTTCTTTTAGTTCTATTTTATTTTATTTTATTTTTTTGAAAAAGTACAGGTTACCCCCGATAATATCAACCTACGTTAATATCAACCTAAGCCACAAATCAAGTTTTTACAAACTTTTATATATCAAAATTCCCTCGTATATATCAACTTTAATATGAATTTTCGTTAATATCACTATCAACATAATTTTAAACAGGTTCAAATGGGTTGATATTAACGAGGGTAACCTGTACTTTAAACTTATAAATTATGTAAATTAAATTAGCAATCAATGAAAGTCCTCCTATACCCTATAATTCCTACTTCTGCACAATTACGTTTATCCTTGACGCATTCCATCTGATTCTATAATTTCTGTGACAATCTGTCGGGCCGATCCACTGTAAACAAAAAATTTATGATTTTGATTGGTCATCAGAAACGTAGTGTACCTTGTCTCTTTTTGATGAGTATGATCAGAATGTTCATTAATGATAAAGACAGATTATGGTTGAAATAATGTTAAAATAATCTTTTTAATAAAATTAATATATTGTGTAACGATATTGCATACTTTAATGCCTCTTTAATGTTTCATATGGGTGCAGTCAAGATAACCCACAAATACAAATTTAAATTTTCGCTATACCAGACCTGAATTCTGGAATTTATTATATAAATATGTAATTGAACACACGTGTATTAATATAACCGTTTGATAGTTTTGTATATCCCAAGCAACTAGAACACTGATAATACAGTAATTAAATTGAGTCCAGTATAATGAAGATTTAAATTTTCAGGCTTTTCTTTGGTAGTATTTATATTACTTCTTTTTTTAGAATTAAAATAGCTTAACTTCTGACTTTCGATTCTTATTTTCGGCAGGATAGATTTACCGAAAATGATTCGTCACACAAAAATACTTTCGGAAAATTTGCACCGGACAAATAAACAGGGCATATTACACAAAAAATGGAAATCGATTCTAGATCGTTCTATTAAAATTTGATTGGCTGCCTTTTGCCAAATTCAATTACATTTTGTGGCTTTTGCAATAGCTAGTCATAACAAATAATTTTACATGTGTAAGGTGGGGTCCGTTAAAGCCAGGTTCGTTTACATAATGATCTACAAATTGCATAAATTGCGTTTGATTTCTTATAAAGCAATTAACTCTAACTGCATCAAAAAAACTAACCCTAAACGAATCTGGCTTTAACGTTCCCCTATAAAAAGGGCGATCTACATTGCCATTTTCAGTAATACGCCTGACTGAATTACAAAAGATGCACTAAAACTAGAGTTGGATCGGTCCGTCCCAGTCTGTCCCGGTCTCTAATAATGCCGGTCCCAATGGTATCTATGGTCCTATTCGATCGGTCTCTAATTTCAAAAATAAGCTATTTTTATGTGAGCATATTATCAATTTTAGCTGTCATTATAGAAATAAATTTATGTGATGTTTTGTTTAAGTTTATTTTAATAGCTTATCAGTTATATAAATTTATAATATAGTTTATCATTAACCGATCTGAACTGGTCAAAAGACCGAAAACCGAAGACCGAAGACCGTGTGACCGGTCAAAAGACCACTCCTTAACCAGTCTTCTCAAGCTAATCCAAACCTAACTAAAACACAGGTGGGTTAGTCATGGCAAAAAATGTTGCGGTCCCGTGATCGCCGACCGTTTCCGACCCATTTGACATAGTCACGGGGACCGCGACGTCTTTTCACCATGACTAACCCACCTCTAAACACTATAGTTTCATAATTAATTGTTAAATTAAAGTTCAAGTTTGTTAAACTATTACATAACTTTAACACATTTCATTCAAAATAAGCACCGTATTTTACGTAATAAAAGTACTACATGACTCAAATTTTTTCACATAGAAAATTAACAATTAATACACGCACATAAAGGGTACTTTACTCCGCAAAGTGCAATACGTATCAGGAATACAAGCCTTTCTCCTTTTTTTAAATGTTAATACGTTATACGTATAGTATACATTTACCATATGATGTGCTAAATATAGCAAATCAAATGAAAAACATTGTGCAAGCTTTTTGGAGTATGATTGACACCAAACACCAAACAAAACAAATAACGCAATAAATAACAAGTGTAAAGGTTATTTTTATATATACAACGTTCTAGTACAATATGCCTAATTAACTGTTAATATAAGCTCATTTCGGCCCAGAAATTTGGGGATTGTCTTGATTATCACGATTGTGTTGTGTGTCAATCTGACATACGCACCGTGTAATAATTATTCATAATAATTGAATATTAATGAAAGGGATTCGTTATGATTTATTAAGATTTGATTCTCTTCTTTCGAAGATAAAGAAGAGTATCCACTTTTGTACGTTCTTCAATTTAGAAAACGTCAAATTCACGTCTACTATCGGAACTAACTTGCATATGCATGAACGTGATATTCCAATTGATGGTAACAGTGAGTATTGTTAAAATCAGATGATTTAGTAAAAATAACGATAAGGTGAACAAAATTATGAGTATAAAAAGTTGAGACTGTATAAATGTTAAATTTTATATGCAATAATTGCTTAAAACTACTGTATCTGAGAGTGATTATGTCGAGATTCAGTTATAGGATAGTGCAAGAACCTTAAACTAACAAACAAGTATTCAAATTTATGTTGTGCAACTTACACACGTAATAAACTATGTTTGAGTACTGACTCAAGAATAATCCTAGGTTAGTAACAAAAGTTTAGTATGATAACTCCTAGATTTAATTCTCTTAAATTTTGTAAAGTAAAAATGTAGTTTTAGTTGACGTTTATATTGAAGCAACTGTGTAGAGGTTAGACTGTACTTATTCCTCTTGGCCTGATTGTACACAACAGAAAACACCCTAATTTCTGCGGTCATTGAATGTTACGCGATTTGTTGATTCCATTCGTGATACTAAATGACTCCGCGGGGCTAAGTAAGATTTAGTCATCAATGTTTATTTTTAAACTCTACAAAAGAAAAATTGCCTGAATTAGGTTAATAAATAGTAATATAAGATTTGGATATATATTTTACATATTTCCAAAATCTCTTGTCGATAAATTAGCAAATGTAGCGTAACACATAAAGATGAAGAAATTATATAAACACGCAATTTACATCCATTAACCACAAATCAACATGGTTAATTATAAGCTCATATCAATTTTCGCCATTTGCTATTATGTAGCGGTCACAGAAGCATACTACTGTATGGCTATTTATTTTCGACTTTGAATATATAATATAGATTACTACCAAAATTATGCATTATATTTCCTATATCTAGTAATTCGATTTGAATGAACTTTTATATCGTTTTTTACACGCGAAGAAAAGCTCATCCGAACCAGATTACTGGAGAAAAATTTTGATAAAGAGTTTTGGTAGACTCTATACGTAAATTTCTCGATAATAAAGTCAAAAACTTATAATAATGTTCGCTTATTTAAATACAGCCGTAACACTTAATAAACCTCAGGATGTTCAAATAGGTTCAACTACTAAGATAAATTGGACTTTTAGCGGTACTCAAGCTAAGTCCACATCACTTATGCTAGGAATTAAAAACGTACAAACGTCGGTTAATGAAACAATAGATACGATCTTGGATCTTTCCAAAAGATCTGAGGATTGGACCGTTTCTGTTGCAACAGGAACTTATAAATTCTACATTATGGATGAACAATTTAACAATTACACGTATTCGAATACATTTACTGTTACCACTCCTACCACTCCTACTGATTCAAGTAATTCAACTCCACCTCAAGGTAAATACATACGTAATAATCATATTTTATAGCCTATAATTATTATTTAAAATCTAATTCATATAATATATATATATATTGATATGTAGATTCGTCAATCAATATTGGAGGTTTTAAGATTAGTATCATAATAGTCATAATAGTTATAGTTGCCATAGTTCTAATTTGTGTTGTTAGCATTGCATGTATAGCGTGTAGTTCATGTAGACCCAATTGGCATTGCTCTAATAATCGGTGTTGTTGTTAACAAATGGCTGGCGTTATGAATTTTACTTATCGGCCAAGTGAAACGTAAATAGCTTGCATTGTGGGTTTACTAATTTTCCCCACTATAAATTTAATTAATAACACAGCTACTCCGATATAGTAGAACCAATCAGAAGTGGTGGGAGGAATTATTCATTAAAGAAGATATTTGAATATGTATCAAGAGAGTTTAGTCCAGACCATTTAAAAATTTATGTTCTACTATATGTAGATCATTGCTTAAAATTGAATGTTTAAGTAAAAATGGATTCTATATGAACACATACGCATTATATTTACTAATTAAATTGCAGCATTAGTTATTATATTGTCAAAGTTTGTTCACGTTTTGGGCTGTGTGAGGCTCAATATTCAAATTTCAGGTCCAAATACTGTTCTTATGAGAACAGTTCAATAAATATTAGTGTTTTCAAGATATGATTTTATGTTCACAAAAAAAAAAGAAAAAAAAAAATCATACAATATATACAATAAATTAGAAAATATATACTATAATTGTATTTAATATTAAAAAAATAATTCAAATTGCCTAATAATAATTTACCTTATATTAGTACAGCATATTTATCGGTTTCTGGCTTGGGATTGTGAACCGCAGAATCGTAACGACGGAAGCACATGGAAATTGTCAGTCGACGTGGCATCGTAACCGTTTCACGGTGTTAACCTGCAAAGACCTCTTGGAAATGAGGTTAACGGTTCAACTAATAACAGGGAGTCACGTGAGTACGGAGACACAAAAACCGTACGATGGTTTGTTATAGTTGTAAGTATTTAGACTAGTGAGAGGATTTATGTATATAGCGATTTGACAAATACAAAAGAGTACGTGATGTATGTATGTAGAATCAATAAAGAGTGTCTTTTTATTAAGAGTATATAAAATAACCAAATGCTATGGCAAGCATGCCTGCGAATCTCGCCCGTTTATATAATGAAACCCATACTAATAATAACATATGGCCCTTGGGCTATTAATGTCCTGTTTGCTACAAATGCCCTTAATGACCCTTATACTACTAATACCCCCTCTGTCCCTTTCTCCACCTACTTCTCTTATATTATAACTGGGACATGCCACACAATCGGCACATGTGGCACATTCGGTACATACGGCACATTCGGCGCAGTAACCCCGTGATCTGTGACCCGTGATATAATAATAGCTAACCGGGGTCAAATCGGCAAGGGTAACAACGGGTATGTCGATCTTTTACTGAAAAAGGGTTTCCCGGCTGTATACACTGTATATACTGTATACGCAGTATACAGTGTTTAATGGTGATAATTAGTATAATCAGTATAAACATTATAATCAGTATAAGTGATATAACCATTAAAATTGATATAGCGAGTATAATATGTATAATGTGTTCTAAGTAAAAGAAAGTATATAATAAAGGCTTTTCGCCTTTGAGGGAAGATATCCTCGGTGATTCACATAAACTTCGTTCCATAATACTTCTACACCTTATACCTGATAAATAAAATACTTACACCCTGATCTATTACTTAAGTGGCGTAAGTAATACGATCGCTGTCTCTTGCTCACGTGATA